ATGATAGGCAGTTATTCAGGGTTTTATTGTGGTGCCTTGTATCATAATTATGACCTCCATGTTGCATTGAGGGCCCAGTGTCCCACCTCCCGCGCAGTTTTGTGCAGAGGGCTGTTCACTGTTGTGCTCAAATTCTTCATCGTTTTCTGAGATGATCTTACAAGCTCACTACACCACCGAGCTCCGCCGCCCGCGCCGGGTCTGTGGCATGTAGCGGTCCCGTATACCACGACCCCGAGGTGGGGCCTCTGATCCCGCACCGAGCCATGTTGACGCACGTCCTCCGGTGTCGGAGATGTGTAAAAGAACGGGAAGGCCGACACGGCGCCCGGTTTATCGAGTTCATCGCCGGCGACGCGACGGTACGGAGCGTGATGAGTTTATACGATAAGTGGTGAATCAGATCCACAGCGGACGATGAGGTATTTTTAGTCGGACAGCCGGATACGGGATTGAGCTGATTGTATCGGAGACGTTAAAGAGGAAACGACAAAAATGCTTCGGTGACATCAGCATAGCGTGTCGTGCCAAATGTTGGCTAGTTTCATGTGATGGATACACGGTTTAGAGTTGTACTACATAGCTTCAGTGAGTCGATGCACTCTGTCATCATACACTATATCCACGACTCGAGTGAAGCAAAACACTTATAACAATCCGCTACGACGGAATATATTATCACCTACAATCCGGATGCAAGTATGATACTAGCCTATAAACAAGCAGTTGTAATTATTTCCTGCCGGGACGGAAACACATCCATCTCTCCAAGGCGCGAATCCGCCTCACGAGCTCCGGCCGCGTCGCGGCGGCACACACCACCTACCCATGGTTAAATTTTCAATCCAATTAGACATGTCCCCACTCACCCCCGTCCCCCGGACAACGGGTGAAAAACGGGCGGCGATCTTTCCCAGATGTGCTACTTTACGATCACGAATCGGCGCCGCAATCGCGGCCCGCTCGGAGTCTGTATAAATCAGGGGCGGACGCGGCCGCGCGCTCTGCCGCGCCCCGGCGGTCACGCTTCTCATCCCGCCGGCCTAATACACAGCCAATGCATCGGCTTCATTTGTTGGCCCTGATTTGACAGCTTAATGCGAGCAAACTGTTTAATTGGGCAACGATAAATCATTGCAGACGCCTTGGAATACAAATACACTGGTGCCGCCACGCCTGCTCTGAAGTGGACAAATTGGCTCGTTGGATTTAGAAGTTCCATTTATAGATTAAGCAAAACGTCCATAGCAATTACAATAAATAACCTAACTATCATAATGGTGTATGAATGATCCATTTAATTCACACGTCAAAATGGAGGCTCTCGGCCGGCACCCCTTATGATAAGAAAATGTTGTCATATATCTGTATGTAATATACAAGGTAGAATGTGTCTGACGTCTACTGGCTTGCCACCATATTACAAATGGTGGCAGGATAGCCATGCGAGACATCGTAAAACTGACTCACTTTAAGAACTCATGCCGTGAGATGAGATTGCAGACCTGGTCGTGCAGTAGTTCCTAGGATATGTTGTTGACGAATTTGGCTACACCGAAGCTTCTTTTGGCCGAATACAGAGAAAGATGAAAAAAAACAGGCCAATAAACTTATGCTAGCTAATCATTCTGGACCTTACCGAAAAGATATGCTCAAAAGACTGCAACGCTGATTACAGAAACTTACTAGATTTCGTTTTTCTTTTGTCAATTGACAAGTTTAGGAAGAAGTCGATCTTATTTTTCATTTTTAGCCGCCACTGATGCTGCCACTTATCTGCACCGCAGTGTATGTGGATATACTCGTTATAAGTCCGCCCACCCCTGTCTACGTCATGATGTACATACGGACATAAAAATACTCTTAGCGGCCCGATCATGATCTGTCTTCATATCTCACCATATTAGCAGCGACACCATGTCTTTTTCCTGTCATTGCCTCGCCTAAACCAGCCAAAGTGGATGTTTGAGCGATGTAATTGCCGCATTTCTTGCCGTATATTATTGTGCTTCATGGTGTAAAAGCACTGGCTGCAAGCATAACGGAAACATCAGCTCCTTTCTCCCCCGGTGTCCAATGGCCAGTCGCATGTTTGGCTGCTGTTTTGTGGCGAGAAGCGACGCATCGATGAGAAGGTCGTGCTTCGTGGTTGGCTTGAATGCTGCGCCTAAAAGCTACCGAACGTTTTCTGAAACACGAACCGCAAACATCTGTTATTGGCTAAAGTTCACAATGCAAATGACAAAGTGGCTATTTTGTAACCGAAATGATTGTCATCTTCACTAGCCGTGAAAGTAATGTGCACTTTAGATGACTCTGTTCCAAGCCTAACGTCTTCTAGAAGACAAGAAGGTGTCATTTTAGAGAAGACACAATAAATAGGTACTAATGGCGCGAAAAAAAAACGCATGACTTAGGTGGTGAAGCAGCAGCCCATCATTTCACGATTTCTAAACTGACTTCGATTTCAACTTTCAACTGTGTTTCAACTTTCAACCGTGGATATGTGATCCGGTCAGTTCCATCACCCCATTCCACCCAAGTTGATATTGATCCCTCCTCGCACAAACATTTTGCACACCATCCCTAGTCACCACCTCAGGTCACTACACAGGGGGTCATCCCCATTCCACACACAGACACAGCGCCGTCCATCTTGAAGCTGCGGTCGGAATGACTCACGACGGATGCGCTGAGGGCGCGTCCACCGGCCGGGGCCGAGGGCGGCGGCGGATCGAGAGGGTTCCGCCCAGTCGAGCTGCTGAGGGCGCGTCCACCGGCCGGGGCCGAGGGCGGCGGCGGATCGAGAGGGTTCCGCCCAGTCGAGCTGCTGAGGGCGCGGCCGAACGCGCCGGCGATTATCGGGCGTCACGACTGGGCGGTGGTGCCGGCAGCGTGCCTCTCCGACCCTGGAGACGTGACCCGGTGACCTGGGAGGGAGCCCAGGCACCCCGGGAGAGATTCCGGCAAGCGATAGCGGAGGGTGGATGTGAAAATGAGCAGGGAGGGACAGGAGAGAGAACGGAAGGATACAAGAGGGTGCTGGCTGAGGATGAAAGCGGAGAAGAAGGAAGCAGAGGAAGAAAAGAAGAAAATAGAATAGGAGGAAGAGGAAAATTAAAAGAGCGGGAAAAAGAAAAAAGCCGAAAGGAAAACATAGAGAGAGAAGAAGTTAAGGTATGTCACGTCTCTGCCGAGCAAGACAACTGAAAATGCAACTCACCTTCTATTATGAAGTTGAAAAAACTTCAGCTTCAGAAAAGAAATACGGAGCTATGTTGTGACAGAAACTTCAGTGAAACAAAGAATCGAGGGGTTGAGAATGTTGAGTGGTCACGAAGTGTTGCTGGGAGCGGCTCAGATAGTTGAGAGAACAATGGGCCGGATGTTGGTCCCCGTTCCATCAGACGGGCACCATCGGTGACTCATGACAGCGGGATGCCCCGATCATCAATAACTTATGACATCACACAGGAGCTGTTCACGTCGCTCAGCCTGCCCGCGCCGGCAGATCACCCTCACATTACCGGCGCTTAGAGTAGCTGTCGGACTTACAGCAGTCAACGTGTCAATCGTAGCAGACAGAGCTCCTCCCGGAGAACTCCCTGGGTGAGGTCATCATGTCTCCCTTATCTGATTGATCGAAAATTGAGCTCCGTGTTGCGGATACATTGTGGTAGAGCTACACGATTCGTATGAAAGCCTATAAATTACTCCAACCTCTTCCAAGCCGTGAACATGACATCTCATTAGCTGCCACACCCCATTTGCCACAAACGAGCCGTGTTAGTTTTCAGAGGAGATCACGCCAAAGCTTGCTAGCCGGGCATGCAGACATTGCAGAAGTTCTGAACAAGGCACCCTCTTCTACACTGGCACTGTGCTTTTTAAGCGACAATGTCTAGCACCAGGTCACGTCCGTTTATTCTGTTGAAGACCAAGTCACGCATTTGGTATTCTGGCAATTACGCTAACCGTTTCATGTCCTCAAAAACGATTTAACTCTAGTCCTCGTTACGTTTTGAAGGACATAACATCACATTTCTTTTTGGAAGTATCTGCAAAATACCTAAAAGCGCTCCCAGGCTACCCCATGCAGTTTTATTCAAGTCTAACCATCTATACTTTACAGTAGCCTGCCCGGTAGCCCTCGTACGTCACCAGAAGGGCGGTCTCCGACATATCCCAGCCCCCGGTGATAGCCTCCAATACCTCACCTGTCCTCAGCGCAGTACGGTGGTCCGGCCCGCCCCGGCTATCGGACCCGATCGAGAGTCCTCTGCCACTGACCGAGGACAAGGAGCGATGAGATCTCCAGCGATATCCTGCCGGGCTCTGCCTCCGCGGTGTCTGGTGACCACCCTTCTAGTGTGCACTATATACTGTGCGGTGTGAGACAGACGGACAGCACGCTGTTTGCGGAGGCTAGCGCGCTGTTCGCATCCTGGGACATTTTTGAAAGTAACTTAGTCCGATTGTGAATGCACTGTTGAAAGATATGCATTTTATCAGATAACAGAAATTATTTTGTTACATGCTATTAGCAGACAAGGGGTTAAAGCCTTGTTTCTGAATCGAAAATTCAATTTTCTTCTCTAGCTAGAAATAAGAGCATGCCGGTAATACGAATTTCTATCCGGTTGTTTTCTCCTTAGCAATTAATACCAACAGCTCGCTGTCTCCATGAATTATGCGGCGCCGTGTTTATATATGGGAAAACATGAGGCCCAGGCCGGGACAGCAGTTTGCCTGTGTCGGCCGACACAAAGCCCGACCCACATATGCGAGCCGGGAGGCCGGGTTTTCCAGGTGAGCTCTGCAGCTCAGAATGCCCATCATACTACGCAGCTGATGGCTATCACTCAAAAGAAGGCCATGGGAACGCTGACTGCAAAATGGCCAACCTGTTTGAAAGGCGTGTCTAGCGGCGGTAAAAATTCCTTATTCCGACATAATCCTATTATGGTTGTTGTTGTTGTTGTTGCTCCCTCCGGCCCCCCCTAGGGGGGCGTAGCCAGACGGCTCAGTTGGGCTCGAAAGCCGGCGGCCAAGGCCGCCACCACGCCGTCGTCCTGTAGCTCGGTCACCGTAGGGTGGATTGTGCCCACTCGTGCCAGGCGGCGTCCCGCCAGCGCCGGGCAGCGCAGCAGGATGTGCCGCGGAGTGTCGGCCTCCTCTCGGCACACACGGCACAGCGCGGCCGGGCACCTCACGGAGCCGCACTGCTCGCATCCAGGCGACGGTCGGCGGCCGATGCGGTGAAGGTACTGCTCCGAGCAGGACCAGTGGCCGGCTCGGAGCTGGTGGACGTCGATCGCAGAGCAGCGGTCTTCGCCCTCCACCGGGCCCGGCAGGCGGGAGCCCCAGATCTCCTTGTGCCACCCGTCCGGCCAGGCCTCCCTCCACCTTGCAGAAGCTGAGCGGGCGGCCGCTCTGGTCACTGTGGTGACATCTATAGGTATGTCCTCTTGTGGCAGGGCACTGGCCTCCTTGGCGAGGCCGTCCGCTCTTTCGTTCAGCGGCAGCCCACAGTGCGCCGGCACCCACTGCAGCTGGATGGGCTGGCCGGTCGCACTGATGCCTTGTAGCGCCTTCCAGATGTCGGCTGCTACCGGCGTCCGCTGGGCCGCTGGGCCGTTCTTGAGGAGAGCCAGTGCCGCTTTTGAGTCAAGGCAAATGATGATCGGGCGCGCCGTATCCCGGTCTGGTGTAGAGGTCAGATCTTCCAGCGCGGCCCTCAGCGCGAACAGCTCTGCTCGCGTACTTGAGCAGAGGCGGCCAGCAGCGACTCGGACCTCTCTTGTGACACCGTCGTGGGTCACGATCAGCGCTCCTCCTCCACCGCGGTGCACTCCTTCCTCGGCAGAGCCATCCGACCAGATCCAGGTGGCGTCCGCCGGGAACGACTCCAACCGCTCCTCCGCCGCCCTTCTTCTCAGCTCCGGCGGGCGATCCCTGGAGCCGTCGGGGCCCACATCCAGGTGGAAGGACACCTCTCCACCGTCCTGCCAAGGCGGGGCGGAGACATGGAGCCGCTCCTCGATGATGAGGGGCTCGCCCCCCGGCGACAGGCGGGCGAACATCTCACGGCCTCTGTCTCGCCAGCCGAGGGTCGCCGCGAGACGTCTTGGTGGCGACGAGTCAGCCAGGGTCCTGAGCGGGTCTCCTGCAGGCAGCGAGGCCGCCAGAGCTAGCTGGCGCGCCGCTCTGATGTCGCGGCACATGTGTGCAGTGGGAAGGCCCGCCTCCGCCATCAGAGCGTGTGACGGGGTCGACGCTAGGCAGCCCGTCACCACCCTGGCGGCAGCTCTCAGCTCCCTGTCGATCAGAGTGAGGTGGCTCTCCGATGCAGCAGGCAGCCACGCACCCGCCGCATACTCTAGTGCACCCCGTACGTAGCCGTTAGCGACAGTTCTCAGCTGCCGCTCGGTCAGGCCCCAGCTCCTACCGGTCATGCGACGGAGGTGGGCCGTACGGGGGCGCACCTTCTTACGTAGTTCGTTGCAGTGGGCTCCAAAGTGTAGCAGCCGGTCGAAGGAGACGCCCAGGAGACGCAGTGTGGTACCACCGGTGACCTCCGCTCCGGCGACCCGGATGGAGAGCCTCGATGCGTCGCGGGCCCACTGGGACAGAACAAGCGCCTGGGTCTTCTCCCCAGCGACGCGCATCTTCCATCGATCAGCCCACGCGGAGATGGTGTCCGCTGCTTGCTGGGCTCGTCTCCCCGCCTGCTCTATTGTGGCTCCGCTGCTGAGGGTCGCTGTATCGTCAGCGTACATGAAGATTTCGGTACCGGGAACAGACCTCAGGGCGGTGATCAGGTCCGCGGCCCACAGCGTGTATAGTGTGGGGGCCAGCACACTGCCCTGGGGGAGGCCGGCTCGGTAGGGACGCTCTCTGCTTCTTGTGCCGTTGACCACCACAGCCGCTCTACGGTCTCGGAGAAACGCCCAGACCCAGTTCGTCAGGCACTTGGGTACTCCGAGCCGGAGCAGTTTCAGTCGGAGCATCCTGTGGTCTATGACGTCATAGGCTCTGGAGAAATCAAACGCAAGTAGGGCGAACTTTTCGGCGGTCTTCCCGTCAACCGGCTTTCCCCTTGGTTTCGGCCTGTTCCATCCATCTTGCACGCGCTGAACAAGTCTAGCCAGGTTTTCCTCGGCCGATCTGCCCCGGCGGAAGCCGACCTGCTCGCATGGGATTAGGTCGTCGCGCTCGACTACGTGTGTGAGTCGCGCAGCGACCAGTCGCTCGGCGAGTTTGGCGAGGTGGCTGGTGAGGGCGATCGGTCGGTGGCTGGAGGTCAATTTTGGGTCCTTCCCTGCCTTGGGGATCGGGACGATGGTCGCCCTCCGCCACGCCGACGGCGTGAGACCCGAGGCCCAGGTCTGATTCATCAGGCGGAGGAGCGCGTCCTTGGCAATCGGGCCCAGGTGGCGCAGATGTTCCGCGCAGATGTCATCCGGGCCCGGGGCCTTCCGGCACTTCATGTTTGGGAGTTGCGCTTCCAGCTCCTGGAGTGAAAACGGGGAACAAACCCCAGAGCGGGCGCCTCCACATTGGCACTCCCTTCCGTTGAGTGTCCTCAGTTCCGCCTTGGTCTTGGTGTCCTGGCGTTTGGCTCGTACTTGACGGCTCACGTTGGCATAGGTCCTGTTGAACGCCTCGGCCTTGTCTCGGTCCTATTATGGTAGATCATTGATTTGGGTTCTGCGGTATTTCTCAAATCAGATATGGTTTTGGTGTTTATAATTTTACGGTGTGTGGTCGGGCAGTAATATAAAGGTGCGGCCGTATCGGCGCATCGATAATAGGAAAATAATAGAGAACTAACCGACAGACTTACTTGGGGATACTTATTTATAACAACGACGCTTAGACCTGTTTATTCTTCAAGCTTATGCAACGCCGACTTGGGATTTAATGGAGTCAGTGTGTTGTGGCTGCAGTAAGCAATGGCTGGACGCTGAGCTTATACGGAGGCATGTCCAGCTTTGCGTTTTCGTCTGAGCTGAGCTCTTACGCCATCCACCGCTTTCCAGCTCGGCCTCAAATCCCTGTATCTGAGCCTTCCTGGCCGGAGCAGAGCCTCACCCCGTTATCAAGGCACGCGTCTTTCCGATCAGCAGCCTTGAGCGGGCGGGCTGCTGTTGGCAGACCGTGCCGTGCGTTGCCGCCCCCCCCCCCCCCCCATCTCCTCACGCACAGCGGCGGGTGCCTGTTGACCTCTGACCCCTCGCTTCTGATGGTCTGAATTAGCCGTCAGCGCGCTACCCGGTGCCTCAGACTGTAATGATGCCCACGCCGTGATGATGATACCCTCGGCCGCCCAGTTCGGCTCGCGTTTCACCACCCAGATCTGTTGCATCTAGAGCTAGGCGGCTGATTCGACCCCCTGAGGCGGCCCGGAGCGCGGGGGGCACAGGTTGACCTCCCGAGATAGCTCCTCACGGTGCCTGATGCGGAGCACGATGAAAGCGGAGTGAAAATTGACCAACAACGCCAGACGAGCCGGTTCGTTATCTCGCATCATTCGCGGTACTATAATAGCATGTTTGTCGTTAGCCGGTAATGGCTACTTTTTGTAATCGCTCTATATAGAACGTCATAGAGTCTTCACGAATGAAATAATGATGACGTGGAATAAGCTCTGGGTATGTCTTCACAGACAAAACTAACACTATCTGATTATTATGTAAACTTAAAAAAAAATATTGTATTCCCTTGTCGGGGGAATTCTTATCCCTTGCCTTTAAAACTACGGGAGCGGGTGGTCGGAGTATTTACGTATTGGTAGCTCTCGATGATGGTGTAGTGTCAACGGGCTTAGGTATTGGTCGGCACATTGCTCATTTCGTGGCCTGAAGTCTGGACTAAGAATTTGTAAAGGCACATGTTTTGGAATGTTCATTTAGGTCGGTCGTATTTCGTGAACAGAACAATATCTCTGCAATAAGGTATTTGTTAAATTTGTTTTTGACCTGCTTATAACTTCGAATACTGTCTTTAAATTTATGGCTTTATTATACTGTTGGTAATAACGACACCAATATTCAAATTACTCATATGAGTCACGTTGGATCGGGCTAGGTCACATTGGGTCACAGATAAGTCACAGGTCACAGGGTTACATCATGCTTTAGTCCTCACTCCTCGACCTTTAGATGCTTCTCGTATGACCAGTTTGTGCCTCACCTGCGCCGCCACGTGGGGTCACCCCAGCTACCTCCGTCAGCTCACCTTGAACTTGACTTTTGCACGGGCGTGGCCCGCCTGCAGGGCCCTGAACAACCCAGGAGGGGACACAGCAGGGCTCTGCAGTCATCGGCATCCCACCTGCTGCCCTCCCACCCCCCCCCCCCCCCCCCAGCCACCGGAAGCGAGAGCACGCGAGGAAAGCCCGCCCTTTTGTCGGCCAGACCAGGGCGGGGCGTCTCGGGGTGTTCGCAGATCACTGAGTCACTCAGTGACTACGCCCCACGTGGGAATGTGCACGTGCTGGGCTCGAGGTGCCGTGCTGGTCGGCGGATCAGGTGTGAGAGGCGTGAAGGAATCTTCCAGGGAACCCGGGATATCGTACCTATCTGATTTCTGCTACTGAGAACTGAGAAAAATATTCAGCATTAGGTCACTGACCAACATGCTTTCATGTTTTCGGTTCTTTTTATTTGGCATTAGCGCGTGTTGCGTATTTCCTTCGTTCATTGTGTCATAGGTATTTCCTTTCGCGGTTTCATTTCCCACATGTCTGCTAGCTCTTCTCTATCCAACCATTCCAAAGGACGCACCTATCGTCCTGCATCACGAAGTTTGGGGCTGTCCCAGGAGCGACCACCGACCCTTCCAACTGACCCGGAGACCGCGTTTCCTGCCCTATCGATGCCCACCGCCGCGCGCTACTTCAATGAGTCAGGACTGACCGCTGAGTGAGTCAGCGTGAGCAGTTTGACGGAGGGGCGCGGCCCTGAACCCTGCCCCGGTGAGGCGGCGTGTCCGCCCTCTGGACAGTCTGACGGATGTGGGGATGCCTCCCCGCTGACCCGATGACTGACCATGTGATGATGATTTCCGTCCACACCCCGCCGGCCCAGGGACGAATCAACACTAAATTGCAGTTGATGGCGAGTGCCTTCTGCCTAAGTCATCCATGCCATCTGGATACGCTGGAGCCAGGGAGAAAAATGATGCGTTCTGATTCATGCTCATCAACCAGTTTAGTTTCTTAAGAACCAAAACACCACAAACGCTTTGCGTTGAAGTGAATAATTTCACAAAGACTGCTGCCCAGAATAAGTCAGAATAACTGGTTATAAAAGATTTGGAAGCAAGTAATCATATGAACATTGTACTCGTATTCAACATTCACGAGACCAAATTATATCACCCGTAGAACGAAAACCAAAACTTATTTTCCTCAGTCATAGCCATGCCACCATCCCTCTCATTCAGTTCCATCACCTTTATCAAACCGTCTCTTTATCTGCGCTGTCTCCCGCCGTCTCCCTCGGTCCCGAGGAGACTCCTGCCGAGCCGCCGGCGCGGCGCCCCGGTACCGACCTGCACCACGCGCCGCTTCTGTCGCTGGTGCGCCACAATCGTCCCGTCGGTCAGCGCCGCGACCGGGCGCCACAAGAGCGGTCGCGGCGGGGCGGCACCTCCCGCAGAGCGAGATGGTACGATTGGAGGGCGGCGGTGGTGGCAGCGGGCCCCGCCCGACCCCGACCCCGACCGGGCTGCCGCGGCGGTCGGCCGATGACGGGAAACTTCTCGGGGAGGATCGGGCTCCGTGCGGTCTGGAAACGCTCGACATAGCAGCGGCGAGACGGCTGACTTTGGGATGATTTTTCCTAAAACGAACAATTGACGGTTTATTATTCTGTTTCAGCTTTGGCAATATGTGAATTGCAATATGCAGCCTTTTCTGTTAGCTCGAAACTTTTCGCTAAAATGCCTAGCGACTCGACTTTGCAACACCTATTTATTGGTACTAAGTAGGAAAAGGTAAACACATTGAAAACCGATAGACACCTTTCCGACCAAGTTGAAACATTAAATGAATGGGTTCATTCATCTTATCGACTTTGTTACATGCCCGCCCTCTCGTGCAAATACCAAATCTAGTATTGCCATGTCTTCGGGAATAAATGAGCATTTGTCATTTCGATGATTAGTTATTTCATTACCATTCCGTCCGTGTTGGAAATTCGGAAAAATAGCATTAGCAGCCATGTCAACAAAACCAACTGGGCATATCTGGACGGACAGTATTTGGGAACATCAGTGTTTATGTCAATCATAGCTGCACCTGACCAATAGCGAGGCATTTACTTCATCTTTCATCAATATTCCCCTAGCGTTGCAGCACTCCGACAAGGCCATTATCGTTGCTGCCAATAAAAGTGTCTGGCCGAATAGATCATGACGCCCGGGCGGTATATACCCGCCTACATTCGGCGATAGCTGTGGCGGCGGGCGGGGAGGGGCCGGGGGCGAGGGTGGCGAGGAGATGGGCTCACCCTACCCCCAAACCGTGTACAAGATGCTATCAGCGAACGGAGGCAGCTGTGGGTCAAGGCAGCGCGCATCACGCCGGTCGGGCTCTCACCAAACACACCATATTTCTGTCCGACCCGTCCCCTCCCCAGCTCCGCGCCGCTGCCGCTCGGGGGCGATCAGCCAGGTCGTGAGCCGGCTGTCAGGTCAAATATATCGTGCAGTAGTTACTCGGGGACCTTCGGTGGTGAAATTACACGCCGTTTGAGGTGGCTCTTCGGCGGCCGCCAGTGTGTTATTATAGCGTCGGTTTATCTGGAAGTGGTTCCAGAGGCACACATCACCCACTTGGTCTAAAGATGGGAAGATAAGAACCCTTCAGTATACCGTTACAATGAGAACAACACCTGCAGTGAATGGGACGTCAGACAGGGCTGGCTGCTGAGGCCTTGTCATTTCATTAAATTCGATCCTAAGCCATTGCCATAAATGACTGGCTGCATTATGTCAATTAATATGAACCATGCTTGGAAGAGCATTGCCACAAAGCTCACTGACAGTCGAATGACGGCATTTTTTTTAGAGAAGTTATATGTAAATGTAGAACACGGAACACCGAATATAATTGAAGCCTGGCCCGCAGATTAGACCAACCACCTTCGTGTACTCGTAGTCTTATTTCTCTTAGGTACCGTTACTCGCAATCGAGGAACATTTATATATCCAAGCAAGGATGATGACCATATATGATATAATTAAAGACTACATACATAGGGGATTGGCCTTTCCATAGTATAACCCGAGACTGCGTAAAGATAAAATATCTTTTTCTCACCTCCGAAATTGTCCCATCGCTAGGCGAATTATTCCCTGACTGAAAAGGTCTCCATGCAACTATACGAATGTCATTTGTCTTTTGGTTTGTTTCATGCATCAGAATCCTCTTTCCTCGAAAACTAAGCCATTTAAAAGTCAAACTCCCCTTTTCCTCAAAGGG